GGCTTCGCGGCCACGGATCTCCACCAGGGTTCGTCAGCAAGGGTGTCGCCTGGACCGCTTGCAAGCATGATGAGCACGTGCACTCGAGAAGATCCATCTGTGACGTGAAATCGTGGCCTTGGGAAGACTTCGATGCTCGTCGACCTAGTAGGGCGCGGGCGCAGCAGCATTGGCTAGCAAAGATCGTTCTGAGCTGAGCTCTCTAACGAGTAAGTCGTTGGGCAACCAGAAAATCACGTAAGGTCGCTACAAAGCTGACTGGTCCGGCCTGAGCAAGCGAGCAATGAAAGACCCAGGCTGTCTTCAACGAGGAGCAAGTCAAGGTCAATCACACTGTGGGCTCTGCCTCAAGGACGACTTTCTCGTGCTGAGCACCCGCTGGAACCGCCGCCTTGAGTCGGATTCGGAGGCTTACGGCAATTCGCTGCCCGCAACCTTTGTCTGGACAGAGTCAACGAGTCAGCGTCCACGCCTGTCCCTTGAACAGAAGACTTCCAAACCGAGCTTCAACTTCTAGGCCTCAGGACAAAGGCAGGCTCTGCACTGAAGAGCGAGACTAAGCCCCCACATCTGCAAAAAGCAGCAAGCTAGGAGCAGCAACAGCGTGCTATGGGCGTGGCCAAGCTCTGTCTGGAACCTGCAGAAAGAAACAGCCACATAAAAAAGAAAAACACGCGCCGTGCGCCTTCGAAGTGACGCCAAGTTATACCATGGAAATCTGCCGGAGTGCCTCCCATCCATGGTATGTCCTGCTTCTAGTGTCGAGTCCTGCGATCGCAAAAAGCTATGTAGAGAGAGATGGACTCATGTGCTTCAACGAAGAAAACAGGTCCTCACCCAATGTTGGTGTTGGGGAGAGGCTGTCCTCGCAGACTCATACATCGCCCAGGAATAGTCCACAAGCTAATGCAGCTTTCACCTCTTCACCTCTACGTTAACGTTGCAGACTCCCAGGGACTGCAATGGACTGATGCAAGCCTTCGGCATTGGTCTCAGCACCTTTCAGAAGGCGAAGACTCTCGCAGATCCATGGACAAGGATGGCATGAGTAGATGGCATACGATCTTAACGCAGCTCTTCATCCTGGCCAGGGTGCTTGGACGGCCGGGCAGTGCTCTGTCCAGACCGACCAGCGGAAGCCGTCGTGCACACGAAGCCGGAAGGTGTACACGGTGCCGATGGCCAGACTTGGCACCCGCTGTAAAGTCATCGCTTCTACTACTGCGCTCCAATCAAACTGTTAGAGTGGGGCAGTGGGGTGGCAGCGGAGCGGCAGTAGCTGTCCCGATCGCTGAAGCAGAAATTATGAGGGCAGCACGCTTCGCCGTCCACTGGCAAATCCTCGGCCATGATGTCATGGCCACAAACAACAAAACAAAGGAGCTCTTCTCGGCTAGTACCTAATTTGGAACAAGAGAGAGTGCTCGATGCACTTGCACGGTGCAAAATCCAAGCTTTCTATGCAGTACAACTCGTGACACTCGAATATGTGAGAACGCGACCTTGCGGCAAAAGACGTCTCGACAGCTGCAGGGAGGCTTGGCCTGTGCCGGGTGACAACACCGCTTGGGGTGGCAGCCATGATGTGAGATTCCAGTCGCCTCTGTTCAATAGCAAAGCGCAGAACAAGAAAGCGTAAACATTGGAGTAGGCATTGCGAACGCAAGGACATCGGCCGAGGGTTTGTCGGGTTTGATGGGTTTGGAGGTTGGGGTACCACTGTCAGAACAACGCAGATCGACGATATGTTGAGACGCTGTTCGACACCCTTCCACCAAGCCTAGAGAGGACTCCCACAAGAACCTTTTAGATCCGCCGAGGCCGGAGGCCTGAGGCATTCAGATCCTAGTCTGGGGAAGCTTGTAAAGGTCTACACAACCGTGCTGCCGAGCTTTTTCTGTGCCCGAATGTGCACCGCTCCCGTAACCGATCGGTGTCCGAGTCAGGAGCCCTCCTCCTGCCCACCGATACTCCTTTCGTGTCCCCTTGCCAGGGCCCGGCCACACGAACCGTTTCGATTTCTTATTTGTAGCTTAGCAGTACGCCAAGCCTGTCCTGTAGGCAGTTTTCGTTGGAGAATTTAACATAGGCAATGCATGGCTCGATTGCCATCTGACAGACATGTGGGTGCTTCAATGAGCATTCGCCGCGTTCGCACTTCGCAGGCAGCAAAGATGCAGGGAAACCCCCTCGTTGTGCCTTGCGGATGTCTTCCCAAGGCTCGGCCCGCTCACGGAGCCGCTTCTCCACTTCGATGGCATGCGGCGCGCGCAGCCTCAGGGTGCGACAGGTTGGCTGGCTAAAATGCAGAACTCCTACGCGAGACATGCTCTAGTGTGTTCCGCGAGGTGGGAGGCCGTACCGTCATTTTTCGCAGCGCCCCCGATGCATCTGACCCCAAAAAGAATCCATAATTGATCTTGACGGAAGACATGGAGGCTTGGCTTCGTGCACGGCCGGATCGTGAGAGCCATTCCATGCGACGATCTCGTCGGCGGCGACCTCTCGCGTAGCTGTTAGATACACTCAGAAAACTCAGAGTCCATTCACAGAGTGGCGTTCTCTTTTCTCTCCCTTGTGCTCATCTCTCTACATGCCGGCTACAATACATGCCCACATGGCTGAACTATGCCAAGGATTAGCGGCGAGAGACAGCAGTGTATCAGGTACTGAGATGCTGTGCCTGAAAAAGCAAATTGTACCCGGTGCAAAGACACAGCATGCAGAAGGATCAACGAGTCAGATTCGGTCAATTGGTTGGTTACAGTATCAGATGCATGAGACGTTTCCTAGCAGCGCTTCCTTTTGCTCAGCTGCTTAGCTTCCGGCGGCAGAGTCTTCGAGCACTTCTTGCACCTCGTCTGGCAAGTCTTTCCACAAGGCGTTGCTGGCGCTGCAAAGGCTGCATTAGGGCTGCCCCACTCCCCTCCCCCCTTCTCGTCATGAGAGTTCCCCTATGGTAGCCCTTCCACTGTGCAAATCATCGACTAGCAACATTGGAGTTGCACCTTGTCTGAGAAGGCAAGTGCGCTAAGCCGCTAAGCCTTTAAGAGCCTGGCGGAGTTTAGCCAGGATTGTGCCAGAGGCCCCAAGGTCTCCGCACCCTCCTCCACGTCAGCCTGGTTTGTTAAGGGCGGGCCGCAGCAAGAAGGAAAGTTGTCTCCGTTCGGGCCTGCCGCTGAATGGGCTGGAAGCAGTGCTTGCCTCAACGCAGACGAGACTACTTTGGTTAAACCGTTTCCGGACGTGTCAGCATGTAAGAGCCAGAGGGGAGCGAGATGTGTGTATACCTCTGTATATTTATGTACATGTATATACATATTCTTACACGCCCATTCATCCGTATATACATACATATAAAAACTAATAAACAAAATACATACATAAATAAATAGTTGAAAATATATACATATTATATATATATCTATATATCTATATCTATATCTATGTCTATGTCTATGTCTATATCTATATCTATATCTATCCATCTATCTCTATATATATATATATATATATCTATATATGTCTATATATATATATATATATATGCAAGTATCAACAGGATGTACTAGTCCTTCTGGTACCAGCAAAGCCCAGATCTGAGGATCCAGGTGGCATTCCTCTGAGCCAAGTTGCAGTAGTAGGGGGACTGGTCACGGATCACGCCACCCTGAATCGGGGGGGCACTTTGAGCAACCCAGCCAGACTGCACCTTGTGACCTGATGGCCTCATGTCTATGTTTCATAGCAGCCATCGTACTTCCCTTATGAAAGCAATCAAAACCTGCAAAAACGGCCTGGCTCTGGTATCGCGTCTCTGCCTCCACCATGATCGGCTCGAAGTCCTGCGGATGACAGGATGATAGCTTGGACCGCACAGTGCTCTCATCTCGTCTGGAAACTCTCTGAGGGAGGATGCCATCTCCAGCGATGGCGACAACATTTTCATCAGTGCCCCACCTTGGACGACGCAAGTCGGCTTGTCGGAAGCTCCTGCAAGTCATGTAGCATCATGTGGATACACCAGGGCATGGCTCCGCAGGAGGTATTGCAAAGGCAAGCCGTGGACATAACACAGGCACAAAGACTTTCAAGTCAGCAACTATTTCAAGAAGGCCTAGGCAGCCAGGCATGAGCAACGAACTGCTCTCATGCAAGCGGCGCAACCTCGAGGCGCATGGCAGCCGTCACTGCTTGGCTGGGCTGCCTTAGTGAACAAATCCACGTTTTCGCTTTCTCTCGGTCTTGCCCTGCCGAAAATCGCCCTAGCGGGCGCCTCCACTTGTCTGTGTGAACCGGAGTGCCTGTGATACTTCTTCTTCTGGACTCCTGCGATGCTTTGCCTCTCTCTTCTTCCTCTTCATCTCCTGCTTCTTTTCGTTCTTCTCAACGGGGTATGAGAAAGCCTACTGAATGACGCCTCCTTCCCCCCTCCGGAATATTCAGCTCGAAGAGTCGGAGAGCCTCCCCCAGTAAATCCTTTCAAGTCTTCGCCTATCCTCTGTCTCAGGTAGCGACTCTGCCATGGATTGATCCAAGGCGTGTCGACGAATACCAATCCTGAGTTGCAAGTTCACAAAGGTGCACCGGCAACGGCCCCTGAATCCCTGATAAGTGACAGCTGTTGTCACCAGCCAGTGCAGCAGAGATGGATGTTCGATGAGCTGGTGATATAGGTCATTTTGGAGCAACTCATGGTTGCCCGCCGCTGCTGCAATGTGCAGCTTCACTTAGGCAGCTTTGCACATCTTTGCATGCGCTTTGAGCACAACCTGCCGAACAGAAGTGGATTTCTGCATAGAACAGCAAGTCGGCCACAGCTGACCCAAAACTGTCCAAGAAGCTGCCGCTGTACATGGCAGCATTCTGTGCTCTGAGAATGACAAGAGCTGTCAAAACAGCTGCAGTCAACCGCCGGACGCAGCCATTCTTTACACAGGTGTCAAAAGCTGAAGTGTGCAACGACTTTCACCTCGCGCTTGAGCTTGCCTTGAGGTTCCTCAAACAAGAATCGGCATGTGCAAGCTTGCGCTCTGGAGTCTTCGATCTCCGGACATCGTGTAGCCTTCCACCATGGGTCCCAACGAGTCAATGAGCTCACAGCGTCCTTGGGTGATTGGTGGTCTTTGTGTTTTTATTGGCAGCAGCCAGAGCAACTCCGGACTGTATGCTTTTTGCCCTGCAATAGGGAAGCCACGTGCCAAGATGTCCTCTTTCATCGAGAGACCCGACAGCTTCAGCTGCATCGCCTGCGCCCGGTCTTTCTGATCCAGCTTGCGTCGGGGTCTTGGGCTGCTGTGCGTGTGGTTGACGTGCAAGAAAGACAAAAGGAATATGGAGGTGCGGCGAGAAACAACTCATGCAGGTTTGTCGGGCCGATGAGAACCTCAAGGGAAAAATTGGGTTCGATGAGTGACTATGGCCGGCACGGACGAAGTGCTCCTGCTGTTTTGCTGTGTCCGGGTCCGGCCCGGTGATATGGTCAAGGGTTGATGCGAGGAAGGGAGTTATGTGTGCGTGACAGTCCCAAACAACAAAAACACGACCATCTGCACGAGAAGAGCTGACCAATGAGAAAATGACTCACAGATCTCAGTGTCGACTCCAGACCCGGCCCCAGTCCTTGACCGTCTGGTCGGCCATGGATGTCCATGGAACGGTGAGGGAGGTGCGAATCTGCATCGCAATGCGCGCAAGTGGACCCTCAGCCCTCACAGCCAAAGCAGGACAATGGGTGACTTGCCAAGCCGAGTCTCATCCTCGGGATGATTGGGGTTGCCGGTCTTTGCAAAATTCGTCCAATATGCCGCCATTGTTTTGGCAAGCAGCCATTCGTCCTTCATGTTTCGATGGCACGCTGCTTTTGTTTGCTTGCTTCTTCTTCTTCTTCCTCTCCAGCTCTCTCCGGCGATAAGGTCACGCCAGTTCACGTAAGAAATCGCGTGTCTGCGTTGCCAGCATGAAAGCCCTCCCACCCCCCCGCCCCCAACCCACCCCACGACTTCTTGAACATACTTTTCGAAGCATGACCGTGTCTTTGCACTCCATCATCAGATCACACTGCGTCTACAGCAAACCACGCGGAAACTTGGTAGCGGCTGCTATAGGCCTATAGGCACATAACCCAACAAGACACGTGACGAAGTGTGGAAAGAACAGCTTCTCTCAGACAAGCACAGCGTGCTGGGCGTGCTGCTCCCGAGCCTTACCAGACAATGGCCATCCGCCCTCTGCAGCACCTTTCGAAGCCTGCCAACCTCACGTGGTCAGCTAAGCAGCTACGTAGTCGGAGGGCGCATCCATTACACTTCTAAGGTTCTAAGGCCAGGGCCATCGCCTCCAAGCCACACAAAACCAAGTTCGGATGCGTGGCTGGCGCCCACCGTGCCAGCCTCAACCGTGCTTCGGATCTGCTACGTTAAAGCTTTTGTTTGTCTCGGCGCTGAGTGTCGTCAACTCCCAGAATCACCATTTTTGTGAGTGTCGCAGGAACCCTCCTCAACTCACTCGAGCACTGAACCAGACTGAACCAAACTGCAGGGGAAGTGTGCCAGGCGAAGTGGCATCATGCCCGACACCCGTGGCACAAATCACGTCTCCGGTCTTCCGGCCTGGCCGAAGATCCCAGCCCAATTTGGGGCATTTGCCTTTGGCGTGTGGCAGAACTCGTACAGGAATGTCTCCTGGAGAGGACACGCTCAGCAAAATTGCAAAATCAATCGCGCAAGGGCCGCGGGGTCTCCTTCTTGCTCATCTTGGAAATTTGACGAGCTGCGCGGAGTGTGGGGCAGGCAATGGCGTAGTCGCCGTAGACTTCTGTCGCAGTCCAGTACCAGTCTTTCACGGAAGCATTGTCTTCAGCTGCATACACCGCAAGGACATCACCGATCTGTGCGTGGCTGATGTTGAGCATATCCGTGGTCAAGAGGGCTATGAAATCACTCTCCGTCATGTTGGAACCTGAGGTTCTAGCACATGGATGAGGCTTGTACTGGACAGCGTTTGGAACTCTCCGAAATCGTGATTCAACCCAAGGCCTTTGTGCAAGATCTCGCACTTTGGAGTCCCCTCACAACTTGCCAGGACCGTCCCCTCGTCGCGGTTGAAGCCGAGCAGAACAGGAGAGTCTTGCTTGAATGCACCTCCCACAAAGCAGAGACCCACTTGCCAAAGCCAAAAAACAATGCAGGACAGCAATCTCATCAGCAAATCGTGCAACATAAAGATGTAATAAGGAATAATGAGACTCTAACATGCTAACGTGATGACAAGATAATTATGCGCCGCGCAGATGGCCTGCTGATAGCAGCTGCCATGGCAATGCAGTGAGCTGAACGCCGTCCACAGTTGGACTGAAGAACGTCCCGTATGCCTTCCATGCCACGGCAGCGATTCCTACTCCTGCACTTCCTCTTGCCTGCCCCTGCTATGAAAGTTACTAAAGTTTTAATAAAGCTACGGCTGCTGCTGTGCAAGCAGCGGCAACAACAAGTGCTACTATCACGGCACCTGTCTGCTACTGCTCCTCTTCCTACCCTGCTACTCCCTACCTACTACTTACGCCTTCTCGACGACGACAACGACCTACTACCACGATGATGACTACAACTACGACTACGACTACGACGACGGCGGCCACGACGACGACGACGGCGACGGCGACCGCGACCGCCGCCGCCACCACCACCACCACCACCACCACCACCACCACCACTACCACCACTACCACCGCCACCGCCACCGCGACCGCGACCGCGACCGCGACCGCGACCACCACCACCACCACCACCACCACCACCACCACCACCACCACCACGACCACTACTGCTGCTGCTACCTCTACAACTACTACGACTACTACTACGACGACGATGACTACTATTTCTCCTACTATGACGCGCCCGCCTTGGTACTACACGCATGCTGCTCGTGAAGTCCCGATCAGCAAAGCTGCTCGCGCCTTCCATCCTTCTGGCAAAGGCTCCGGGTTCAGTTCGATGGTCGCAAGTCCCGTCAGCCTCAGTGATTTGGAATGGGTTTACTGGTACTCCAAGCTCGACCGCAACAATAAACAAGAAGCACGCGTGTTCTTAGGTGAGGGCTCATCAGCCTCAATGCCTTCGAGGCATGAAATTGGTGCAGTGGCATTTCTGCAGCCGGTAGCCTCCACCAGTTCCGAAAACTGGCGCTCGGCGTCCTTGTGATTAAGCGGGCTGTTTTCGTGAGCGCTCACTGCAGGACCCGAAAGTCAAGGCCCTAGGGCCCTAAAGAGATCCATCTTCTGTGAGAAACAGGCGTCCGCCATCGGCTGCGCATTCCAATAACTGAAGGCCCCAGACTCCATAATGGCACTTCGGTATAGCGGCCTGCCGTGAAGGCATCAAGCCGATTCAGCTTTAAGCAATGCTTTACATGGATTTACATAGTTTTGCGATGTCTCAGCATTTCACCGTTGAACTTACTTAACTGCATATCCCAGCGGCCAACTGTCAGGTGAAGTCAGGTGCACTGCAATGGAACCGGCGCCGGCACTCTCACCGAAAAGCACCACCTGTCCCCGATGCGGAGGCAGAGGCGCTGTATGGCTCTGTGCTAGCAAATCCCAAAACAGCTTCCACCGGCTTCCAACCGTAAGCTGCTCATCCGAAGCCGCAACGTGGCCGCAACGTGCTACTGATTCCATTCGCAGGGTCGCTGCTGTGCTGCTCTGCCCACATGTCCCGTCGCTGCGTTGCAGGAGGTAACGCGTTGTGTGGCATGTCAGTCAAAGGGTCTCTGAACGAGGCAACAGCAACTGCAGAAATCGAGACATGTGCAACCCGTAGCGATGGAATCCCAACATGCCTGATGCGGATCTCCACCAAAAGCTGCAATGTTTCCTAAGCTGCAGTTCATTCTCCATCGAGGTGCGAGGAACCTAAATCGAAGGCGAAGGAGCTTTGCACCCATTGCATTGCTGCTCGCTGGTCCTCAAACAATATTCACGGAGGACGCAGGGGCTACGACGAGGCTTTGAACAGCGAAGGTGAGACGCACACCGAGGCCTCGGGCCCGAGGAGCGTGGGACACTGGGCTCAAAAAGCTGCAAACCCCCCTACAAACCCCACGAGCCCTAGAAACCCCCACCAAGCCCGAAACCCCGCGCGATGAAAAAACGAAGGCCACGACTCGCTAAACCCCAAAGAACTCAAACAACATCCTCCATTTGTGGTTGCAGGGGTTATACAGGGTTTGGAAAAAACCGGACGCTTTTCCCAACACCCGTTGGACGCTGCAGCGTGCTTTGTGGGCAGGCTCGGCTTTTGAATGATTCGGGCGCCCACGCGGCCAGCAACCCCATAGACCCCACGAATCCCCTGTCAACCCGCCGGGACCTTTTTGAAAAGGCTGGGCTCTCTAGCATCCAGGGTTTTTCCGCTCACGGCATGTAAACTTTGCCACAGGATCCTTGGAAGGGCAAGCAGCCCCAGCCGAGGTCGCATGGCGTTGAATTTCAAGCATAGAGTACTTGGAATAGCTGGGCCAGCACACCTAAGCGAAGCGTTTGCTGTCACACTCGAGACTCACTCGAGGCGAGAGGTGTGAAAGACCGGGGCCGGCTTCAGGGTGTTGTCGAATTCTTCAATTGTGCTGTGTCCGTTCTCCCAGAAAAATGGGAAAAGGTTCAAATTCTCTCTGAAAAGACCAGACATGCATGATCATCAAAAAACATATCACAATGCTCTATGGCATAATGTATTGTATTATATTATACTGTGCTATATAGATAGAAACAGACTATAGACATCAATGAAGCTGATGGTCCTGCAGGCCATAATTTCCGGTGGACCCGCGAGGATCTCGGGAGCGGAGCTCGTCGGAACCAGCAAACCCTGGCATTCCCCAAGTAAAGGGGTGCGTGCAGTAGCAATGTCATTATGTGTAGCATGAGAACCATTGGGAATTCCCAAAAGGGGGCCCCAAGATTGTGCAGGTATAGGTGTTCTTAATAGCTTCACTTTTCGAAAGCGTCTTGCTGGCCACACAGTCTTTGTCTGTTGTATCACTACCAAGCAGCCCTTGCCTAGAATGCCAAGACGGTAGTTCACGGTGACAATGACCAGGTCCCCAGCAAAGCTCACAAGGGCGGTCCCGTTAAACATGTCCTCAAGCCAATGTCCAGGCTTCGACCGCTGAGAATAAGATATGTGCATCAGCATCGTGATCACATGCATGAAGATGCATGAAGTCATGAAGCGGCTTCTTAACAGGCCCTTGATAGTCCAACATGTCCTGCGTGCCACCGGTCACATAGGACCCACCATGGATCCAGAACATCACCTCTGGGCATCCGATACTTCAACCAAGCCCCTTCGATCACATTTAATCAGCAACATGCTCCCCAACTAAGCTAAACTTCAGGTAAGACCTATGTCGTACTCATTTGGCAGAAGTGAGGTGCCATGATACGAGGACCCAACATGTTTATCTCATTTGTTTCTGCCTCTACCAAAACGCACATCACCCTTTAGCTTGCACTTCTTTCATTTGAGAGACTTGCGCCAAGCGATGCTGGTCAAGAGGCCGTGCACGCGCGGCATTGCTTTGACGCCCAGACATTCAAGAACAAGCAGGACTCCGAGCCGATGATGCTCTCCCCCTTCACCTACAGTGGCATCCATGGGGCAATCGCTCAAAACGCTCCTCGACGCGCCATGACAGCCTGGGTCGTGCCTGCATGCAGTCGTCTCCGAACTCCTTCGCCGGCCTGATCTCCGTCCTAAGTGTGCAAGATAAGCAAAGACGGAATGCATGTGTATTGGCCTGGGCTGCCGGCCGAGAGGCGTCTGGCATACCTTCCCAACCTGGCCTACACCCCACCCCTGCCTCCTTTCTGCGGGACCTGCCCGGACTGCCTGGAGGAGCCGCAATCCGATGCCGCGGGGGCTCCAGCCTGTGGGCTGCTGCCAGAGGGCGCGCCAAAAAACATGAGCTAGACCAAGAAGCATGAGCACAATCTCCTGAGGTCCTCCTCCAGAACTACTGACGTGTGTGGCGATGCGCCAAGCGACACATAACTTTGGCTGTCCTTCGTCTGCGATGTGCACGCTACATCCCGTTGTGCCGTCCCGGCTGCCGAGGCAATTGCACAGAACGAGTTCCTTCTACATTGGCCTGGCCCTGTTGCGAAGGTTTGCAATCAGGTGGACATACCGAGTCCCAAGAGGCTTGATGATGGATATGTGGCACTCTGTGTGTGTGTGTGTAGTACTGGCGGGTCATCAGCAACGTCTTTAGCCAGCCGTAGACTTTGGCCCGGAAGCTGAGACCCTTCCGGATCCAGTATCTCCATTCCGGGCAACCTTCAACAACTTGTCCTCCCGAAGAAGCTCCGGTGTTGTGGATACTTCTCGTCATTAGCTACTCAGTTACTCGTTGTGGGTGCAAGCCTTGGCTTGGTCGGTTCTTTTCCACAGGGTGTCCTATTCAAAGCGATGGATACTGCGCTGCGTACAGGCATCCATCGAGAAACCGGCTGCGGAGGTTTCCATCGCAGTGGGCCGGCGGGCGAGGCGGCATAAGGAATTCCTGGGTGCAAGCGCGTGGAGACTCATGGAAATCCCCTGAAAGATGAACGCATATTCAAGTGGAAGTTGCCAGTACTGTTCTTTGAGCCTGCTACGTGCCGACGTGCCTTAGGGCTGCTTTGACCAAGTGTCCCAAGTACTCGCAGCTGCTCGAGCTGCAGCGGCCCTGAATTGGACCCTCGGCAGTGAGAACAAGGTCGCCTCGGCTGTTGCCTGGGGCAGACCCACGCGCATGTCTCCAGCTCGCAATGGCCAGCACCAGATGCACAAACCAATCCCAGAAGAAAGCTGCCATGGCGTCTACTCGCTTGCTCCACTTGCCAGAGTCGCTCCCTCCGTGTTCCTTATGAAGCCTACCATCTCCCAAGTACATGCTCATGAAATAGGACGACCCAGCCGGGTGCCGGTGCAAAGTGCTGTATCACGCAAGCAAAAGTGCAGCAAGTCCATTTCATGTTCCGTGGATTTCAGCGGGTTTCATTCAGATGGGGACGTGCTGCATTTCGCTTTCCCTGAGACGCTGGCTGGACAGAGACTGGATGTTGGTCCGGCAAACATCGCGATGTCCATTCAACCCGAACAAAGAGATTCCCGTCCTCGTTACGGATTCCACATGTTTGCAAGGGTTCTCATGAACCGACGTGGCACTGTGAGCGGTCCTTGCCCTCAACAAGCTCGATGGCAGGCCCTTTGGCCTGCTGCACGGTCATTGGGGGGACCTGTCAAGAGCGTCACGGCTTTCCTCTCAGAATATCCTCACCTCTGGTCCTGTGGTCACTGGGCCGCCGACAGCAAAGAAGGGGATGCTGGCGGCAGAGACGTCGTTCATGACCACATTCCGTGTGCGTCTGAGGGCAAAGAAAAAGCGGTCACATGAGATGACAGCCACATGAGATGACAGCCACGGTTTCACACTCTGGCCATGAGCATGAGCTTAGCTGATGCAAGCCAAACCTCCCAGTACTTTCACATGTATCTTAAGGGGAGTCATGCTGCGACCCATAACCCCAAGCTGAGGTCCCTGCATTTCGGCTTGGAGAAATGGCAAGTTGTAGACCAAGCGGCACGGCCCATGCCTTGAAATGCAGCCTAGTACAAGGGGCCCCTGCCCAGGAAACCTGAAGCTCATGCCCCTGACCCACCCCTACACGCCCGCGAATCCCCAAGACCCAACACCCCAAAGACTAAACCCCATCTGAGTCGAGGCCAGAACTCCACCGGCTGGCAAAACACCGAGTTCTCCAAAGGAACCAGCCGATAGTCCTTTGGAGAAGGCTCTCTGCGCTTCTCTTTCTCGGCCTTTTGGGGTGAGCCGGGGATCCTTCTGTTAAACTTTTTGGGAGGGGGGGTTCTCCATAATTGAGCTCATTTGTTGTCTTACCGCAAGATGTGTGTGTGTATATACATATATGTGTAAGGCTCGTATGATGACAGGATACCCAGAAGCGGTCGTCATTTAGAGAGAACATTTTGCTCGATGCTGCGAGCCGATCCCGTTGCCTCGTCGGTCCCACCAGCAGGCCGGCAGTCGATCACCACGCTGTGATCCTCCGAGCACGAGGGGGGTTCCGAGACAGAGCTGAGACAGAGAAAAGCAGGGGGAACTCAGCCAAAGGTCCCCAAATCAGGCCCAGGCCTTGTCGGCGTCGTTCTTGTTTGTCTTTGCAAACATGGCGCACTTCAGCAGGATGCAGGGCCTCTCAGAGAACAGAAGCGATGCAGCTCCGGTATAGCTGGCTATCAGCTCTTGTGATGTGTGACGCTACTTCTTTCCGCATGGTCGCTTCTTGGGCCGCAGCGTGTGAAGAAAGCGGCCAAAACGAGCTTCCGGAATGGGCACCTCGACATCTGCTCACATGCGAATTGTCCCTCAACCCTGATGCGCAGAACGATGCCACACAAAGCCCGAAGATTCTGGAGGCGAAACTTGCACACGCAGACATTAGTATGGTCCAAGGGTACATCCACGCTGCGCTCGGAACAAGAGGCCACGACGCACACGAGGCTCCGGCCAGTTCCGGAACTAGCATGGGTGGACGGCGCAGGGGCGTCAGCAACGGAGAGCTGTGGACCGGGTCCTCCCAACGTCTGTGTCATTCTCAAGGATGCAGTACGTTACGGGCCGCTTGCGATCATGTGGGTGCATGCCCTCAGGGTCTCTCTCATGCCCTCATCTGACGTCTTGTCTTCCCGAGATGCGCACGCTCCACCGCAGGGGGTGGGTTGGATCCAACCTGACAGTGTTTGCCCGAACTCGTGCCATCATGAGTCGAGCTGTTGGAGCTGTGACGCGCAACTCAGACTGGCCACTCTCCTACCAGCAGGGGCAGCAACGCACTTTCATTGCATAACATAACTGTCGGCCACATTGGGCCAGAATCGTGGCACTTCCTGCCACTCCGGAAAAATCATTCAAATGTGCTGCAACGTCCATGGGGTCATGATGCAGCAGTGTGGACAACTTGCTTTAAGTGCAAGAACGACAAGAATAACATGACCCAAATGCTGTGGGCTAGCAGCAGCCTGACTAACGAATCTTTTTACATGAGCGCAGAAGCTTCTGGTTGTACTCTGTGCTTCCCTCGTTGTGCACTTTCTACGTACAATACACTGTGCAGCGGTCCCAGCATTGCTACTAACCGAGTGGACTGGGCCTGAGAGATCTGACTTTGTAATGCCGCATGCTAGAAGCTCCGTGATCTTGGCACTAGGCGCCACAATTCAGGGCCTCCAACTTGCCCAGCCCGGTCCTTAGCGTTCACACGTTGGTCAGCTTTCACTCAGGACTCTTCGGCTTTTGCCCAAAAACGACTCAGCACACGGAACCGCGTGAGGGCTCATCGTGGCCGAACAGGTCGACCAAGTCTCAGTGTCAGCTGCTGCAGCTATGAGAAAGCCTTGGCCGTCTCCCAAATTGCCTGGGCGATTGGCAAGTGGTTCAATGACACTGTTCAAGTTGTTTTTTTTCTGATCCCTCGGCGGCCATGTAGTCACTGTAGCCACTGCAGCCTTCATGCAGACGAGCTGCATATCCCGGGAACCCACCTGAGAAAGCCACACCATGCAGGCGGGAATTCTATGTGCCATGGAGGGACATGGAGACATGGTGGGTG